AAAAAAAAACGGCTCCCGGAGCTCCACGCCCTGCCCCCGCCCACCAGCTTGCCTCCGCTCCGTCTCCACCTCCCCCCTCCCTCCAGCGCTTGCGCCGCCATACAGCTGATCAGCGCAAGCCTGGGAGGGAGGGGGGAGGAGGAGGAATGCGGCGTGCTTGGGGAAGAGGCGGGGCCAGGGCAGGGATTTGGGAAGGGATTCAATGGGGGCAGTGAGGGGGCGGGGTTGGGGGCACAGGGCCAGGGCGGGAATTTGGGGAGGGATCCAATGGGGGAAGGAGGGGGTGGAGTCGGGGCGGAGGGGGGGCGCGAGCCCCCTCTGGGCTCCGCTCCGCCTGTGAGCAGAGGCAAAATATCGGGACAATTCGCGTCCCGACCGAAGGTAGGTCGGGACGCAGGACAAATAAGCAAATATCAGGACAGTCCCAATAAAATCAGGACGTCTAGTCACCCTAATATATTCAAAGATGCCAGTAAGCATTCATGCCAGCCAGCTACAGTGAAGGGGCACTGCTACAGGGTGGGGGGTTGCAGTTTACAATCAGTATATATGCAGCAGGGGGCAGACCCTGCCCCAGCATAGCAGCAGCAGAGAGGAATCTGTTCTGCTGTGAGCTGAGGCATAGCTTGTGGGTCGTGGAGCTCAGCTCTCCAGGGGCTCCCCCCCAGTTGCAGGGCTTTGAGACCAGGGAAGAAACAGGGGCAGGGCTGGTGGATCTGCAGAGTGGCCTGGGAGAGGCAGCTCCTCTCCCCTGCAGAGAAGTCTTAGCTTGGCGCTGTCTGTAGCACGGCTTTCCCAGAAAGCACACACTGCACAAGGGACATCTCCTGTGGCAGGACACAGCCCAGAATATTAATACTCAAAGCTTCCTTTAGATCCATAAGCGTTAATAACACACTGCCTTTTATCTAATGGTCTCCAGTTCTGGGGGGGGAGGGGGTATTAAGAAGCCCAATGACAATGTGTAAGGCTGCAAGGCTGTCACGGAGGTCGCAGAAGTCACGGATTCCATGACTTTCTGTGACCTCCGTGATTTCTGCAGCTGCATCGGCCAGTGCGGTTGACCCCAGGGCCACCTGAGCAGCAGTCCCAGGGGTGGCTACGGAGGCAACCGGAGCAACGGCCCCATGTGCGGACGGAGGCAATCAGCCTCCACTGCCGGAGTAGCGGCGCCCCGGGAACCCCCCCCCCAGAGCAGCAGCGCCCTAGGAGCAGGTAAGATTTAGTCAGGGGTATTTTTTGTAAAAGTCATGGACAGGTCAGGGGCCATGAATTTTTGTTTATTGTCCTTGACCACTCCATGACTTTTACTAAAAATGCCCCTGACTAAATCTTAGCCTTAACAATGTGGACCTCAACATTCAAGCTGGGCATTACGTGGGGGATGAAAGACAGGCTGAGGACAGGGGTTTTATAGTCAGACCTAAATATTAAACAACTTTAAATGGAAAGATGAAGGAGAGAGAGAAATTACGCAGGCTGGTACTTTAGGGCTGGGAGAGTCACTTCCCATCCCAAACATCCCTGGGGTCAAGCTGGCAGCTGTGCACGTTTGACTGGAGGAGTTCACAGCCCAGTCTGCATATGTCTCACGTGTTTCAGTAAAGCTGGGTCCAGCTTGAGGCCCCGATGCAGCAAAGCCCGTAAGCACGTGCACTGCAAACGTGTGCTTAAATCCCGCCAACGTCGGCTCTCGCGGGCGGCGCATGGGGAAGTTATGGTACCTTTAATTTCGGAGGTCAGACAAGAGAGTCACAAGGGTCTCTTCTGTCCTTAAAGTCTGTGCATCTCCGAAGCATGTGCTTACGAGGTTTGCTGAGTCAGGGCCTTCATGGGCCCCACTATGGGGAGACCAGACTCTATACAAAATCCAGTCACATTACAGGGGCCAGATCCTCCATTGGTGGAAATCAGGGTAGCCCCACTGAAGTCATGGGCAGCTATGTCCATTTACACCTGAGGACCTGGCCCCACATCTTGATCTTCACTTTGGTCTCTATTTCCAATCCCAGGGCAGTTCAGCCAAGGCAGACCAGCAAGGCCACACCCACGGGTTCAGCACAGGATCCTTCCCGGTCTCTCTCCTACTGATTTGGAGTGAACGTACTGCCTGGGCAACAAGCGCCTGGTTGACAGCCCTGCAGAGCGAGGCTTTCTGCATCCACGGAACAGGGATAGCAGGAGCAGCACCAGTGGCAGCATCTCCAGACTGCTTTGCCAATGTGCCTCGTTCAGCCCTGCCGCCCGGGCTCTAGCCATAAGGATGGCTCATTCTTTGGCCTCTCAGCTGAGATTAAGCGAACTGTGCTGGATTTTTTGTTGTTGTTGGTGATGCAACCTGCCCACCAGGAAATAGACCAACGCTCACCAACTCATTGCACAGAGGCCACCAAAGAGCCTTCAGCGTTGGGGCTTGCTGCTGACCTGGGCCAGGTCCAATCTAGTGATATTGGGGTCAAAATCTTTCTATCCCCTTCCCAAGCCCTTGGGCCACCCTGACCCTCCTCCCTCCATGAAAAGACAGCAGCGTGGGGAAAAGGTGCTTACTTTGGAAGTCTTCCTGCTGGATCTTCCGATACTTTGGAGGTCGCCCTCTAGAGAGACAAGAGAGGATTTATTTGCAAGCTGTCCGCTTTACCGTTTCAGAGGTGCTGTAGGAACCAGCGTGTGTTCATTAACTGCACCGCCTGTCGGCACAGCGAGGACTGCACCGTCAAATGACCAACAGAGGTAACAATCCCTTAGCAGGGATTGAACCAAGGACCTCTAAGGCTACGTCTACACTTGTGATTATAACGGTTATATGTGCCTTGTTGTGCCATAACTCCCCTATTGTCCACATCTGAAGCAGGTTCCTGAAGGACAGTGAAGTACAGGAAATCTAATGGGGAGTCTGGGTACGTACATGACAGTGCTGTGGCATGGCCCCAGACCTGTTCTACAGCCCATTGTGGACATGGACAAGGGGTGTGTACCAAGTCCACCAGCCCCATTCCCACCATGCATTGATACCTTTACTGCTTCACCCTTACCCAAATCTAAAGTTCCCTAACCCCCCGTTGCCAACGGTAGTAGCAACCTGCGCTGAGCTCTTAAAATCAGTTCTCCCATGAACTGTATTAATCAGCACCGGCAATCATGGCTTATGCTCCAAGAGGTCTATGAGTCTATGAGTCTATGAGCTGCTGTATGGTCTGCAGAGGACACGCGGGTCCTGATCAATGTGTGGTCAGAGTACACCGCCCTCCACAACTTCACCCGGATCAGCAGGAACACACACCTCTACCGGGAGGTTTCATGGAGGCAGCATTCACCAGAATCCATCCCAGTGCCAGAAGCATATGAAGCCCCTCAGGCTCCTGTACTGAAGGGTGAAGGACTCCAACAATTGCTCTGGGAGAGGCCCCAGCAGCACATGACTCTGCTATGATGAGCCAGACCGGGCGCTATCTGGGTCTGTGAGTAGTGATCCTGAAGTGAATCATGACCCCTCCTCAGCCCTGCTCGTCTCATCAGATAACGGGAAGCTGATGAGGGGCAAGGCAACGAGGCAGCAGGGACCATGGGGGAAGACCCGGAGACCTGGAGGAACAGGAGTGTGTGATTCTGCACCTTGACCCCTGAGCAGCCTGTGGGGGACCCCGAGCCATGGCAGGAACCAGAATCTGAGGCTGGTAAGTTACAATAAATCCCCACACTCCCTGGAAATATCCCCTCTTGCTCCAGAAACACATGCCTGAAGGCAGCCCCCCCCATCTGCCCCACTGCACCCCAATATGGTCCCCGAACGAGGCACAGCTGCAAATCAATGATTTTACTGAAATGCCACGAACCAGTGTAAAGCATGTCAGGGGAGCTATAACAGATTATTAACAAGCAGTCACTGTGCCCCGTGTCTGTGCATTTCTCAGCCAGTACTCTGAACAACGATAGTCCCTGGGCCACGTGGACTGAGGGGGAAGGGAGGGAGGAAACAGAACAGTTTTATGACATTTATGATTACTCAAAGACCCCCAAAACACCCCTTCCCTCCCTCTTTCCTTCTCCTTGCAAACGGGTGCCAGGCAGAAGGGGGTGGTTGGTGGCTTGGGTGGTGGCCCGCCTAGGTCCGGGAAGGGAAAAGGAACCATTTGTCTGTCCGAGGAAAGTCAAAGCAGTCCATTCCCCCTGTGTCCACTGCAAATATTTATTACTGTTCCCAGTCCCTGCTGCTGGTCTCTCCCCATGCAAAGTCTCTCTGAAGTAGCCAGGAGAAGCATGGGTAGGTGAAACATCTGCTCTGGTGGTTCCACAAACTCAGCGCCCTGTCCCTTAGCAGTGGAGAGGCGACTGGCGTGCAGTCTTAATCCTAAAGTTTAGGGAAGAATATACACTTGGGACTGTTTCTTTGCAGCTTTCAATGGTGTTTGCTGGACACAGGGGCCGGACTTGCCAGCAAGGTGAGAAGGTTAGGGGTCGGATGGATGTTTTCTGTGGTTCTCTGTTCCTCTTCCATGGGAGCTCAATCTGCTAGCTGAGAATACAGTCAGTCAATTGCCTCCCAGACCTTTAAGCATAATTCAGAAAAATTCTGGTGTAGCAGAAATTCAAGGTGGTTCTTCAGATTTAATGGCAGGACAAATGTGCTTGGTCCACCTTCGTAGCTCACCAGACCCCTACATTCAGCAATATGTAGAGGAGTGACCATTAACAGAGGCATCTCTCAGTCACAGATGGCCGGGTGTCCTCCATTGGACTGGAAAGCCACTTCTCCCTTTTCCATTCCAGTGTCTTGAACGCTGCTAAGTTCTCCAGATGATGGCCAGCCATTAAAGAAGAAATAGGCAACTAGGAACGTAACCCCTGAAAGGAACTGAACCCCACCCCAACCAGCCCCTTGTTGCACTGTCAATTTGAACAGCAGTACTGCAGGTATCTTACCATTTCTGCCCTCAGCTCCTTCCTCGTGGGCTGCAAACGCTGTCTGATGGAAGGGGGCTATGACAGTAGCGATCCTGGGATCCTGACAAGTATCAATATTGTGGCCTTCGGCAGCAGAGTTACATGATGTGGGGGGATTCTGGCGGCTCCTTCGAAAGGAGAAATGAAATGGGACGCTGGCCTTGTCTTCAATGTCCCAGGATTCCATAGGGAACCCGTTCTGGCAGGAAGGCAGGAGCAGCAGAGGCAGGGAGAGAAGGACCCTGGAGGACCTGCTCATTGGCACCGACAGAAGGTGTCAGCAGCACTTTGAGTTCTTAGTGCAAGGGAGGAGGAGGCTCTTAGGCGGGAGGAAGCACTGACAAATCAGTCCATGGAGCGGGAGCAATGCCCAGGGAGAAGAGGACCACGCACTCATGCAGCCACTGGTACAACTGGTGGGCGAAAGCTTTTGGGGCCTGCCTGCCACCATGGCTGCTGCTGGACACGTAGCACAACATCCTCCACTGGCACCCAAACCCCCTCACAGGGGAACCCCAAGAGCATGCAGGAGAGGAAACATGAGCCTTATCCAGTTCCTGTAGCCCAGCCTGTGTTCAGTCCCCCAACCCCATGCAGGAGACGTCCCTGTTTGTCCCCCCGCATGATATTCCGCAGCTGTTCCCTCCTTGTCAGGGGGAGGGAAAGGAGACGTCCACAGACGCTGCTGTTTGCCCATGTTAGGCCCAAAAATATGGAGTATAGTTGTTTGGCCAGCTTAGCCA